TAAATGCTGAGTTAGATCAGCAATCTGAAACCTCTGATCCCAAATAATCTCATATTCCTATTTTGTCTTTCTGTGTCCCCCTTACCTTTCAACCTTTCCTGCACTCACTCAAACACAAACAGAAGCACTCTCCTACCACAGCCTGAGGCATACCCCAAGCAACACATGCTCACTTAACTCCCAATCCTCAGGTCAAGAGTGTAAATTAAATTGTGAAAGCACTTCTGACCAGGTCTCTCCAGAGTGTAAGTTGTGGGTGTGTGAGTGTTTGCCTTCTTAAAAAGTAGCCTCTTTGGATAATGGGAGGGGGAAAAAAAACAAAGAACAGTAGCAAATATAGATAACATCTGAACCTTCAAACTACTGAGACACAGACACAGACCTGGAAATCCAGAGTTAGGATCTGAAAAACATGCCAGGATAGTAGATGAACCTACATGCCATTTTTTAGTTCACCTTAGAGGGTGCTAAATAAAAACATGCTAAAATGGGGAAAAAAATCAGTTATCTGAACAAAGCATACTTAACAGCACTGAGCATATGACATTAACTCAAGGCACATTTGAGGGGGAAACGCCGGAAGTGTATGAAGTCACTGAGAGCCTATAAAGATCTGACTTGGCACGTGAGATGACAATAAAAAAAGAAAACTCAGAAAACAGCTTGTTTACAAAACTTCTAGTTATAATGAACGCTATACTTCAAACCAGGAAACAGTGTATAGATGATCTGCCATCCTAGACATGAGAAACACCCATTTAAACCCCTACCCTGATCCCAAACCCAATCTTAAGAACAAGGGGGAACTATGTCCAGCAGTTGCTGTAAAGCAAGTCCTCTTTATTATTTACATGATGTTTCTACACAAGCTATAAACAACTCCTATAAAGTTGACTAAAGTTTCAAGGCACGTAACTGGAATCCTAGCAAGTGGAGACAAGAGGAGCAGAAGTTCAAAGCCAACCTTATCCACATAGCAGGACCAACACCATTCTAAACTGTATGAGACCCTGGGCTTTGTTGTTGTTTTGCTATTAAGGAGGTTTTTTTGTTTCCTTGGTTTTGTTTGGTTTTTGGGTTTTTTGGAATTTTGGTTGGTTGGTTGGTTGGTTGGGGTTTTTTGGTTTTGTTTTTTGTTGTTATTGTTGTTGTTTGTTTGCTTTGTTTTGTTTTGAGACAGGATCTTTCTACATGGCCCTGGCTGTTCTGGAATTCACAACACAGACCATGCTGACCTTGAACTCACAGAAATCTGCTGGCCTCTGCCTCCCAAGTGCTGGGATTAAAGGCATTAAAATTATATCCAAGAAGGTTGGAAAGATTGCTCAGCAGTTAAGAGCAGTTGCTGCTCTTACAGAGAATCCAGGTTTGATTTCCATCGCCCACAGGGCTTACAACTGCCTGTAAATCTAGTTCCAACAGAACCAGCACCCTCTTTTGGTCTGTGTGGGCAACGTAATCACACTCATAGAAGTAAACCTTTAAAATATGTAAAAAATGTTCAGTGAATAAATTTTCTACTACCGATTTCCCATCTATCAGATATATGTAAAATGTGTTATGTGTGTTATTTCCTTCTATCTCATACAAAATACATGTACTTTCTAGAAAAATTACCCTCAAAGAGTTATAACTGTCAGTTTTTTCAAGCTGTATTAGAGATAGTTTTCTTATTTCCTCTCTAGTTTACTTGTGACTTCTGAGCAACTACACTACCTATAGGGTGCTGTGGTGGCCATGTCCTATAGTTTATGACACACAGCAGTCATTCAATCTCAGATTTTAGTTTGGGACACTGCCCAGAGAGACAAATAATAGAAATCTTATAAATATCAAGTTATTGGTTCATGCTGAAACATGGTATTTCCAAAGGATGCTCTGTCTACAATCTGTGAAGAAATCATATACAAACCCCCTATTTATTCAGGTCTTCCAAAGAAGCTAGAAATGTTTGTGTGGGAAGGGGGAAAGGAACAGAGCTAAGAGCGGATCTGCTGAGTCTTAAAAGTTCAGCCCTGAGACTCCAAGATTCTATAAAGAGCAGTAAATTAGGGTTTGGCTGGTATTTGCTGACTATGGAAGCCAGAATAAACATTTACTTGAGGCTTTTAAGTCTGTGAGAGTACCCAGTGGTTAGGTACAGCAACTATAATCTGGAAAGAAAACAAAAAGCAAAACGCTAAACAAACAAACAAATAAATAAATAAAATAAAATGTTTCTAAATAAAAGTGGGGTGGAGAAGATGGGCACACTTCCTTTATTTCCTCCAATAAATACCTCAGAAAGCAACATGCCACTTGGTGGGATTGATCTCTAGAAACTTCTGCTGCCTTATTAAAAAAAAAAAAAAAAAGCAACTAGCAGTTCATATTTTTCAAGAATGTCTACCCACAGCTATCTCAGTTCAAGTAAAGAAAAAGCCCATGCTTTACTGTGGAAACAGAAACAAAAAAATCAAACCTCCCACTATGTAAAATATGAGCCCCACATTCCTAAATAATATGGCAAAGATACAGCTTATGCAGGTCACTAGCGACAGCATTATGGGGTGACAATTCAGAGCAGAACTAAATGTTAAGCATAACTTCACAGAATTGCTAGTTACATAGAAAATTTACCAATAAATATTTCAGTTGAGGACTGCTTTCTCATCATTAACTATTTTTAGTTGAAAGAGTGTGGTTGGGGAGCCCACATGGATATGGTTCTAATTTTTTCAATGTCTATTTTTTACATTCTGGTCACTGGTTAGGTTTTCTAAACTCAATTCTTTAGAACTGGTAATTTGAAAGGAGTAAACCACAAGAACATTACATTAAAAAGCAGAAGACACAAGGCTCACCAACCAGGTCAGTTGAGCTAGAAGGCTCTGAGTCCTCACTAATCTAAAGATGGGTCCCTGTCATCCAGATTCACATAACAAGAAATGTTACACAAACAAAATGTCCTAAAGCCACATCTCCAGGTACTGCACACTTCTGAGGCTCCTTATTTTTCTGTCTGTAGCTACTTTGGGGTGGGTGGTGAGCATCCACTCAGATTCGTTCCCAGGAAGCTCCAAAGGGGCTTCTTTCTAAATGAACCTAAAACTTTGGATTTTAAAGATTGATAATCAGTTATTGTAAAACATCCCAAAGCAGTTTACATTTCTTACACAAAATACCAAACGTGTCACTGAAAATCTATTGCGTGCTGATAAATAACGGCATTGCTTCTGATTCTTTTTAACAACCCCCCTCTAATTAGACTTCAAGAGGGTTGATAGCTCAATCCATCCACACTTTTTCTTTCTTGCATAGACTGCCCTACTTGTAGTAGAGGTAAATGACTAAGAACTGTTAGGACTAGGTCTTTCTTAAAGGGGACTGTTTTTAAAGAGAGAAACTGTCCTCTCCTATTAATGAGCAGCCTCTTGTTCTCAACAGGCAGTTTGCAAGCAAGACCACTGCTGACTTCAGTGGGAATTCTGCCCCAGACTTGAAGAAGACAGAACAGGATTAAATCGGGCAAACTTCACACCACTGTTCCAACTCCTCCAGTTCTCCAAAGGCTACAAAGACCTCTGAGGTTTGATGGTGGGTCTCAAACCAAATTGTCCTAGAAATGACTGTCCTAGCCCCAACAAGTGACATAGCCTCTCTCTTTAAAAGTTATTTCAAACTAGCAGCCTCCTGAGAGGGCTGCTGGCACCTACCAAGACCCAGAATAACATTGCAAGGCAGCCCACCAATGGCTGCAACAGCAAACCGGAGATTTCTCATAGCAGGAGCCTGCAAACAAACTGAATAGCACAGGAAAACCTGTACAAATACTGAGAATTCTAAACCCCATCTCCCACAGCCAAGAAACAGATCAAGTTTCCCTCAAATCCACGGGAATGTCTGACAGAGTAGACTAAAATGTTGTCAACGCAGCATTATAAGGCAATAAAGAATACAGAGATAATGTACTCACACACACACACACACAAAAGAAAGACAGAGAGAAAGGACTGAAGAAAAATGAGTGGAGAAGACTGAAGCCGTTTTAGTTTTATTTTTTAGCTAATCACAGTAACAAGAACATACTGCCCTGCACACCCCACGTTTCACATGCAGCAAAGTTCAAGAAACAGAGAGACTCTTGATTCGCAAAGGAGGAAATGTACAACTCCACTAGGTGCCACCTTGCTTATCACTCTCCCAGGGACCTTAAAAATCAGGGACAGCTGTTCAGGAGGCAGATTTACTGAAGGGCTTCCTCATTTTGTAAGGAAGACTCCACAGAGACCACTCCCCAAAGTAACACACTGGGGAAAGGGGGCGCTCTTCTAACTTCACCCCAAATAAATAAATAAAACTTGGCCCCGCCTGAGGCTGGAGTCTGGGGACACTTAATGACTACCATCCACCGAAGACGTCTGGGTTTGAGGATGGGGGATCCAGGGGTGCCAACCTCAACGCCACCGACTCCGTTATTTCCTCCTCGTAGCCCCAACCCTGAACCTCATCTAAACTGTTCCCAACCCTCAGCTGCCAGCGCCTGAAAAAAAGGAAGCCATCGGGTCGGATGGCCTGGTGTCCCGGCTGGAAGGCTCGCCTCAGAAAACGTGCGAGCGTGCCCGCAGCGCCAGACCGCACAGCCGCCGGCGGGGGCGGAGGGTCGCTCGCGTGGGCCCGACCCACCGCTTGAGTGGGGCTGGCTGGCTGGCTGGCGCGGCGCCCTCCCTCTCCGACTCCCGCAGAGCCCACGCGCGCCGCGGGCCCGTGTCCGGCGACCCCCAGTAGAGAGGGCGCGGCGAGCCCCCCGCACCCCGGATGGAGCCGCACGCCTTGGCAGGGCCCGGGCGCGTGAGCCCGGGGACGGCGCCGCGGTCCTCGGCGGGGAGGGAGCGAGAAGGGCCCGCAGCCGCCCCCTCCCCCGCCCGGGATGGCCGTCCGGGCTTCCTGCCGGGGTCGGCTTCCCGCCTGCAGCGTGTCGGGACACCGCCCGCCACCCCGCGGCTTGCTCCCCTCCTTACCCAGACACCGCGCCTCTCGAGCTTGCTCGCCCCGGGGACGCGTCCCGCTCCAGCCTCAGACGCCGGTCCTTCGCGCCGCCGCCTCCACCCTCCGCCGGGTTTCAAATTGAAATTCCCTGGCTGGGGCCGTCAGAGAACTCACCGCGCAAGCCCCGCCCCCTCCTGGCGGAAGCCCCGCCCCGCATCCCCCGCTCGGCACGCCCCGGGCACGGAAACCCCCCGCGGGCAGGCCACGCCCCACGACCAAAGCCACGCCCCCGGCGCCGGCTGGCGTGGGTGGGGGGCCTTCCCGAGGGGTTCGCGCGGCTCCCGGGCCCAGTGCCCCGCCGCAGGGGCGCGTTTCGCCCTCGGAGCGACCCTGGAGATAATGACAGCCAGTCCACATGTGCGAGGCGTTCTTTCTGAGAATCCTGGCCTTAAATGCCCTCTCAACTTCTAAAGTTCTTTCTTCGGAGAGCTTTCACTGACCAAACCTTCACTGGGTGCCTATTTCGTGGTAGACGGTAGAGCAGGTCCAGGAAACCGAATAAGGAAAGCTGGGTCCCCCCTCAGTCTACAGTGAAAGAAGTGCTTTCACACGAAAGGCTTGAAAAGAATCCATTTATTCTTCCTGTGGGAGAGGCAGGAGAGATTGGGTAAACCCCATGGAGGAGAGGAGCTTTGATGCTCAGGCTTTAGAGTCAGGATTTCTCCAGGCAGAGGATTTGAGAACCTAGGTTGCGAAGTATAACGGGATAAGTCAGTGTCTAATATATATCGGGTCAAATCATGGAAAGTTTTACACATGCGTGCAGATAAGAGTTGTCCCGTGTCTTTTGCACAATTAGACCTTAATCTCTTCTACTTATTGCATCTTTTCTGAGCATTGCATGTCAAACTGTCAGAGTGGCAGCCCACTATCTCCAGAATCTGCACTCCCTACTCCCCACCCCTTACCCCCCACCCCCGTGTTCCTCTAGTCATTTGCTTCCTCCCACCTCTAATAAAATCTTTAATGATTCACCTCTGCCAATTTCTTTCCTAAACATCGTAAAATTAACAGGATCAAATTAACCCTCAGTGGCAATACCTTGCGTGTGGATAATACTTCCCAGGTAACAACACACAGTCAGATATTTTATCAGTTGGTCCTCACAAGAACTATGAAAAGGATACCTATGTCAAAAAGAAAAGAGTTGGGGAAATAAATTACTTGTGAAAATCATCCTTGTAAATAATAAAATTATTGTCATAATAGCTAACATTTGCTCTGTGTCAGGAACTTGAGTTGACTTAGTTGACTGCAGTCCCAGATGCTAAGTACACAAGGAAAGTTTGATAAGGTGTGTAATGCATCCTAGAATCCTGATTACATACATTTCTAGCATAAAGAAGGCTTGGAATAATTAGCGTTCCTTTTCGGTTGCTATAAGGAAATTCCTGAGACAGATAACTTAGAAGACATTTTGCTCATGGTGCCATAGGTTTCTGTCCATGGCCACCCAGGCCTTTACATTGGGTGGATGGCCAGGCCTCATGGTAGGGAGCACATGGAGCAAATTACCTTGTGGAATCTGAAAAGCAAAAATTGAGAGACTGAGGTCCTAATATACCCTCCACTGATGTACACCCAGTGACCTAACTTCCTCCAACTAGGTCCCACATGGAAAAGTTCCCACACCCTCACAGTATCATCAGCTAGGGACCAAGCCTTTCAACATAGGACCCTCAGGGAAAGAATTAAGACCTAAGCCAGAAACAGCTTCCATAAACCAAACTTCTTCAAGATCCAGTACTTTCCAATACCTTGAAACTAAATGTCTGTAATTTTGATTCCATATTAAGAATAAAATATATAAGTTGTTTCCATTTTTATTTGTTGAGACAGACGTTCACTATGTTGACAACAATGGCCTAGAGTTCCTGGGCTCAAGTGATATTCCTACCACGTGTAGCTAAAACTGCAGGTTAATACCACAATATTGAAACTGAGCTCAACATGTAAGTTTGAGGCCCACAAAACTTTGATCCACAAAGCTGCAGAGGTGGCTTGATGAGGACCTGAAATCAGATGCCAACATCCAGGTAGCAGCCAGGTATAGTGTCACAGGTGCTTATAACCCTAGTACTGTGTGGGTGGACACTAAAGGAGGAGAGAGGCTTTCAGACAAGGAGCCTAGGCGAAAACACAAAAGGACTACAGCAAGCCTGCCTCAAAAGGAATAAGACCAGAAATGATAGGACAATTGACGCTCTTCTTAAGCAGGGCAGTAGTGGCGCACACCTTTAATCCCAGCACTTGGGAGGCAGAGGCAGGTGGATTTCTGAGTTCGAGGCCAGCTTGGTCTACAGAGTGAGTTCCAGGACAGCCAGAGCTATACAAAGAAACCCTGTCTCGAAAAACAAAAACAAGACACTCTTCTTGGGGTGTCAACTACAGGTGAATAATGTTTAAAATACCAATGCAAACTTGTAAAATGAACACATGTATATGTAATAAAACATAATGTTATTATAAAAAAGATTCTCACATAATATTTATTCCTGCTGCATTCTGTGAGTCTTTTTTTTTATCAGGAGGAGATGCTGAGACAAGGTATTAAGCTCTTAGGTAGCTTTTCTTGAGAGTTTTATGGTTTTCTTGACAAGAGTCATTTTGGGAGAGGGAACCTCAGTTGAGAATTGTCCCCATCAGATTGGCCTGTTTGCAAGCCTGTGGTGCATTTTCTTGACTGATGCCTGATACCGGAGAGCCCAGGTCACCTGTGCAGTGCCATCCCTGAGCTGCTGGTCCTGAGTGTTATAAGAAAACAGCCTGAAGCCTGGAGGTGGCACGTACTTTAACGTCAGCACTCTGGAGCACAGACAGGCAGAGCTTTCCAAGTTCATGGCCAGCCTGGTCTATAGAGTGAATTTCAGGATATCCAGGGCTGCACTGAGAAACCCTGTCTCAATAAACAAACAAAAAAAAAAAACCAACCTCCCCTGCCAAAAGAGAGAGAGAGAGAGAGAGAGAGAGAGAGAGAGAGAGAGAGAGAAAACAGAAGAGAAGGAAAAAGGAAATCAGAAAACAGGTTGATCACACATGAGAACCAAGCATCACTCCTACATGGCTTCTGCTTCAGGTCCTGCCTCCAGATTTTTACCCAACTTCTTTCATTGATAGACTGAGATATAAAAGTATAAACAGAAAAAGTTATTTCTTCTCTGTATTTCTTTGGTCTTTGTTAGCATTCTGTCTAAACTCCACCTCCACAGTCACCTGGCAACAGCCAGGTAGGCCTGCCCACTATAAAAGGGGCTGCTTGGCCCCTCCTCTCTCTCTTGGTCCCTTCATCCCTCTGCCTGCAGGTTCTCTGCCCCCTCTCTCCTCCCCCTTCCCTTCCCCCCTCTCCACATGGTCGTGGCCGGCCTCCACTTCTCCTCTCCTCTCTTCTCCTCTCCTCTCCTCTCCTCTCTTCTCCTCTCTTCCTCCTCCTCCTCTTCCTCCTCTTCTTCCTCTCTCTCTCTCTCTCTCTCTCTCTCTCTCTCTCTCTCTCTCTCTGCCTCCACTACCCTCCTGGCTCTCCTCCCATGCCCTGAATAAACTCTATTCTATGCTATATCATTGTGTGGCTGGTCCCTCAGATGCCTCAGCATAGGCCCGCTGAGACATCCCCTTCCATCATTGGTCCCCATCCATCTTTTCAGTCTTGGTATGCTTTATCACAGCCATAGAAAGCTAATGGCGACAGTAGCTCATGCTGGCCATGAAGCCTGCTTATAAAAGGTTGCCTCCATTTTTTTTTACAAGTTGGAAATATAGGCAACTGCCATTGTACCCTGCCCTATGCCACATTTAAAGAATATTAATAAGATAATTATATCCATAAGTGTTTTTCTGTGGGAGCCAAAAGATTTAGCTTGAAGAAATTATTTGATGTCATTAAAAAATGATTACCTGTGTGTGTGTGCGTGTGTGTGTGTGTGTGTGAGAGAGAGAGAGAGAGAGAGAGAGAGAGAGACAGAGACAGAGAGAGACAGAGAGAGACAGAGAGAGACAGAGAGAGACAGAGAGAGACAGAGAGAGACCAAGCTGGCTGGCCTTGGGAATTTCAGATATTCATATAATAATCTTTTGGTCAAAATCACACCCCATTCCCTCCCACCATCCCTAATCTCCCACCATGACTTTTCTTTCCCAATGTCATGGCTTCCTGTGGGAAGAGACAAAGAAGTGGAGGGTAAATGGAGACGGTGTCCACAACGATGCTCAGGATTCAGACTCTGAAGACCAACATCAGAGTTCAGATCTAACTTTATTGTTTATTACACAAGCTTATATATATAGCTTTTTAGCCAATTTGGGTATGTTTATATATGCAAGAACAAATTGAGGTACAACGGATGTTGTTTAGCAGAATCTGACTCGCCTGTCGCCTGTAGGAGAGGGTCTACTCTTCTGCGGAGATTTCTGTGAAGGAAGGGAAGCAGCCACCATCTTGGCCTAGGGACCTTTGTGTTGTCTCACCAGCATGCCATGAGGAAGTCGTGTGGGAGCCGTGTCAGATCCTTCACTGTGGGTGGTGGATCAGGACTCTTCAAGGAGCCACAGAAGCTTGTGGCGCCTCGATCTCCGTCCAACTTCTTCCTCCACCAGGTTCCTCCACATCCCCCACAGCCTCTCTCCTTTAAACAAACAAACAAAAAAAAAGTTTCCTATTTTTAATTTTATGTATATGGCTGCTCTGCCTGAGTGGATGTCTGTGTAGTATGCGCATGCAGTGCCCACGGAGGTCAGGAAGAGGTAGCAAATCCCCTAGGACAAGAGTTACAGGTAGTTGTAAGCTGCCAATAACTACCAGAAATTGAACGCAGGTCCTCTGGAATCAGCAGCAGATACTTTTAACCACCCAATCATCTATCTCGCTAGCCTCGTAGGCTCTCTTTTTTATCTTCTTAAAGCTCCTGAGTGCACTTAAATCTGCCACTGTATGCTCACAGACTAAGGGCCACTTACCAAGCAACAGGGATGAGCTTCCAGACTGGTACGGGTTTGATTTCTGTGTCCTATGAATCAAGTATTCAGTGTCTTCAGCATCAAATTCTGAAGGGTAATTAATTGTCCTAG